TCCGATTTAGTGTAAAACCAATCGACCAAAGGCTGGTCGTAGCTACGCAACGTGATGACTGGCATTTTGAGCTCTTGAATGAAACCATCGCGCAAAAGTTGTGGCCAAAGACAATGAAACAAGTTGAGGAAAAGACCCGACAAAATAACTCCATCAAGGTCAGGATCAAAGCACATGACTATGGAAGCATAGTTAAGAGCATTTTTTTCATTTGCTGTCCTGTACTGTTGACCAAACTTCAGTCCAACTTTTTCCATTAGCTGTGCAATAAATTTATCTTGGTTCACTACTTTTTGACTTTCATTTCGGACATTTAAGAACAGTCCACCAATGGGAAAAACATCATAACAGTCAGTTCCAGTTTGATTCAATGCGACAGCAATAGAATTACTGGCTGAGTTTCCTTCTGTGACCACCAAATGTTTGCGCAAATCTTGGCTGACAACAAACTCAATTTGGGTGAAGCTGCGAGCAATGGGAATGTCGCTGACCGTGTCGGTGATGGCGTCCACCTCTTCAGAATGCGTCAGCACGAGGACAACCTGCAAACCGGCCGCTTTTGCCGCTTTTGCCTCATCGATGCCCATAGTCAAAAAAACAGTGTTGGCTGGCTGGTCTTTGGTTTTGGCAATCAGATTCTGGTACGTGGCTGGCGAGGTCAGTTGGCCAAGGGTAGTGTCAAACTGCTTGACAATCAAAGCGTTCAAGTCGCCGTTAGAGGTCTTTTGCAAAAACTTCCTGGATGCTTCGGCCCAACTGAAAAAGAAACAAAATGTAAACAAAAATTTGCAAAATCAATTTCAAAATTTATAAATAGCTTGCCTATTGGAGAGAACGTAGAGTTTCAGCTCAGTGGCCCACTTCTGAATGTGCACAGCAACGTCAGAGTAGACCGGTGTGGTGATTTTGCCGCGCTTGTAGCCATCGAACCAGACGTGGAAACTGTTGGTTAACAAATTACTGAAGGTGATAATGCTGAAGGTAATAAGAAAGTTTACCGATACAAGATGAAAGCTTTTGAGTTCTCTTTATCAGCGGTGCCGCAGTACTCGACGTACTTGTTGACAGCGTCAATCTGCGCCTGTTTCGGAGCAGTCAGGTCGACCTTGGGCGCGGCGGCGTCTTCAGCGGCTGCAGCAGCAAGCGCTTTCAGGTCCGCCTGGCACTCCTCTTTGGACCAGTTGGCATCAAAGTAGGCCTCATGTGCTGTTTCAAAGTACGGCATCAGCTGGTTCTCAACAAAGGCATTGCTCACAATAGTATTGTAGTCGAAGATGACAGCGTCTGGATTCTTGATCTTCACGTTCGCCATTGTAGGTGTTCTGAAACGAGAAAACTTTGATGGAAAATAAAGTGAGATGGAAAGCAGTTTTAGAGTCAAAAGAAAAATGATGAAACACGCTACACATCACCAACGTGCCTTCCTTTGGATGACATGTCCTTTACTGACAATCCTTTGACGGTTGTTTTCAGTGATTACGATAGCGAAACGTTTTCAGCTGTGCTTTTGCAATTGTTTCACCTTTCTTTTTGTTCACCTTAATTCTGCCGTAAGATTCTGCTTTTTAAATGATTCTTTCCAAAACTAACACAAACATTTTTTAAATCAACAGCATCTTTTCAACCAGAATGGCCGGAAAAAAACGAAAGGCTACAATTGCAGCAAGTAAATCTGAAATTGAAGGTGCCACTGCTTCGAAAGTAAACAAAGCTTTTGCCGCCGAGCAGCCAAATACGGATGTCAGTGCTGAACCAAAGAGAAAGACCAGAAAGCAAAAACAAGCAGCTGATGATAAAATTGTAACCGAACCTGCAGTTTCAGCTGAAGCAACCAGCGACAAAACTAAAGTCCAAAAGCAAACACGCAGTACTACTTTGATGATTCCTAAAATTGATGCTAAGCAGCCTTGTTTGCGCCCTCAACAAGTTAAAGTTTTAGAATTTCAGCAAGAAGAAGAAGAAGCGATTGAATCGGACGATTCTACTCAATCTGCAGAACCAAAGAAACGAACTCGCAAAGCTAAAGATTCCGGCATTCATTCTAGACCATTCATTTGTGAAGAGGAAGGGTGTGGAAAGGTTTTTTCTAATAGAGGAAATCTGCAACGGCATTCTATCCTTCATTCTGAAGCAAATACAAAGCATTTCGTCTGCGAAGAAGACGGCTGTGGAAGGGCTTTCACTCAAAAAGCAAATCTAATAAGACACTATCTTGTCCACTCTGATGTCAGGTCTTTTGTTTGTCAAGAAAACGGCTGCGAGAAAACCTTCAAAACCAGTAAAAATTTAAAAGATCATTTTCGAGTCCATTCAAACGCAAAGCCTTTTGTCTGCTGCAAAGAAAATTGCAAAATGGCTTTCAAATCTAATGGCGAATTAACAAGGCACTCAATAGTCCACTCAGACGCCAGACCGTTCATCTGTTTGGAAACGGGCTGTAAAAAAGCATTCAAATCAGCGGGTTGTTTGAAAGATCACGGTCTGGTTCACACTGGTGTAAGAGCGTTTATATGTTCAGAGGAAGATTGTCAACAGAAATTTAAGTTGAAAAGCGCTTTAATTCAGCACAGTCTCATCCACACTGGTGTCAAACGATTTGAATGCAATTTTCCACTGTGTGGCAGAGTTTTCAACAAGAAAGGCAACACACTCAGGCACATTAACTTGCACCTCAGCAAAAAGAAGCTGGAAAAGGAAGCTTTTGAAAGTGAAGACATTGACAGCAACTTTGACCCTCTTTACTTTCTCTTTGTTGACGGATTACAAGCTATTCGCAGAGGTGAACAAGCTGAAAACAGTTCAATGGTGGACACCGAAATGCGGAAATCTGCATTCCAGCGGGAGCTGGCCAGCGTGAATGGCTCTGCTACTGAAAAGATTAAAAAGTACCAAGAAAGGCAGCAAAAGCAGCTTGAAGAAGAAATCAGCGCTGAAAAAGGACAATACAAAGCAGAAATTGAAAAGTACAAAGCCCGAATCCAAGCTGAAACTGAAAAGTCATTTGAAGAGGTAAAACTGTTTAGTAATGTTGCTAACAAGTGTAAAACTAATACTGTTTTTACTAGGTCAAATTGAAGTACGGAGTGGAGCTGAGCAATGACGAGTAAACGAGTGAGCTGTTGACTGCCGACAGTTGATTGTTTTCTTTTTTCAAAGTTCTTATTTTCACACATTGTCTTTTTTTGATTATTAAATCTTCTTATAACTGAAACTTGTTTAAATTTTCTTCAATTTTTCAATTCCTTAATTACATGCGCATGGTGTACATTATGTTTTTTGGCCGTGTTTGCAAGTAAAGCCTTTAGGGCAAAGGTTTATGTCTCTACTAGGACAATCTGACCAGGTGGTTTTAACCTGCCTGTATAGTTTTTGTATAAGCGACCAACGTCTGTGCTATTGTGTCAATGCCGTTTTTTGTGTTCTTTGTGGTGACCGTCACCGAGATAGGTGATAATGTATTATGTCTGAAAAAATAGCCGTTGTAAAATTATTGAAAAAAGTAACAAACAAAAATTTTAATGATACAACAAATGAAATTTGAAGAAGGGAAAAATCAATCATTTGTCAGCAGTCAACAATTCACTTGTCTACTCGTTGTCGCTCAGCTCCATTCCGTACTTCAATTTGATCTAGTAAAAACAATATTAGTTTTGTTAATCACATTACTAAAAAGTTTTACCTCTTCAATTGACTTTTCAGCCTCAGATCGGACGCGGGCTTTGTAATTTTCAGTGTTTGTTTTGCATTGTTCTTTTTTGCGGTTAACTTTTTTTTCCATTTGCTCCAGGTGTTCTTTTCGGAATCGTTTTACTTTACTGCTGGCAACTTTTCGCAGATGGGCCAGTTCTTGGAACAACTTCTTTTGCTCGCTGGGGTTTGCAGTGACAATCTCCTTATTTTCGCTTAGTTCGCAGTCAATTTTAGCCTGTATGCCATCTACAAGTAAAAAGTAAAGAGGGTCGTAGTTGTTGTCGATGACATCATTATCAAAGTGTTCGCTTTCCAGCTTCTTTTTATCCAGATGTGATTNAAGTGTTCGCTTTCCAGCTTCTTTTTATCCAGATGTGATTTGATGTGATCGAGAGTGAGGCCTCGATTGTTGAAAACTTTGCCGCAAAGTGGAAAATTGCATTCAAAACGATTAACAATATTGTGGATGAGAGAGTGAGTTTTTAAAGCATATTTTTGGTTAAACGTCTTTCCACACCCTTCCTCTTCACAAATGAATGGTCCAGAATGAATGACTGGATTTTGAGTTTTACAAACTTTGTTTACTTTCAGAGCAGTGGCACTTTCAATTTCAGATTTACTCGCTGCAATTGTAGCCTTTCGTTTTTTTCCGGCCATTCTGGTTGAAAAGATGCTGTTGATTTAAAAAACGTTTGTGTTAGTTTTGGAAAGAATCATTTAAAAAGCAGAATCTAACGGCAGAAGGAAGGTGAACAAAAAGAAGATGAAACAATCGCAACAGCTGAAAACGCTTCGCTGTCGTACTGAAAACAATCGTCAAAGGACTGTCAGTAAAGGACATGTCATCAAAAAAAGTCCTTAAAAATGGATTTTAAATGAATAAAAAAAGATAATGAATAAGCATTAATA